AGGGAGATCCAGGTCTTCTTCCTCTCCCCATGCTCCTTGCTCTGATGGCAACGCACCAGGGAATTCATGATGCACAGCCCACCAGGTGACGTCTCAGTGACCCATGCACTCGCAGTTTAATCTCACAACGGACAGCCTACAGCAGGAGTCACTGCTGCACCCCACAGTGAAGAGGCTCATAAAGGGTCAGTGGGAGCCTTTTTAGAAGTTGCCAGAAAAAAAAAAGAGGGCTGGGGATTTAGCTCAGTGGTTCCAGCGCCTGCCTCGAAAGGGGAAGGACCCGAGTTCAATCCCTGGTACCAAACAAAACAAAAACAAAGACTTCTTACATTTTCACATAACTTAATATATGGCCAATTAAAAAAAAAAGTCAAATACCAATCAGCTGAGTATTCCATACTAGAAGAGAAACAGGGTAGGTCTTTATGACTATATAGTTCTTTTGGATGTAAACAGTATCAAAGGAGAAAATAAACTATATTAAAGATGTACAGTAAATTAGCTGGTTGTGGTGCTGCACAGCTATAATCCCAGGACTCCAGGAGGCTGAGGCAGGAGGGTCCCAAATTCCAGCCCACCCTGGGCAACTTAGGGAGACCCTCTCAAAATAAAAATTTTAAAAGAGCTGGCATGTAGCTCAGTGCAAAGGCCCTGGGCTCAATTCCAGTACCAAAAAGGAGGTTGGGGGGTTAAATTGAAAATAACTTGTTTTGTTGCCTCGCTGTTTCGAGCAGTGGTCTCTGAGGATGGTAACTTCTGGGGAGGCCAAAGCTGCACCTCGTGCTCCCTGAAGGGATTGGGACCCAGGCAGAGGCCGGCCATGCTCAGTGGGTTAGGGAGAAAAGCGCCTGACTTGCACCCTGGGTCCGGGCTTCTTGTGGACCTGGTAGTCACTCACATGTGCAAGGTGTCAGTTCAGCCCTGTGCTCTGAGTTCATGCCCCTGTGCTGCTGTAAGCACCGTTCTGGACCTTGTGAGTTATTCTCATTACTGTGAGGAGCCATTCTGGCTCTCTTCTCTTTGGATCTCTACTTGCTTTTTTCTGGCCTCCTGTTCTTAACCATTTAAAAATTTTTTCCCTCTTTCTGAGATTTGGCATCTTTACCCACTTAACCAACATTTGCAGTTTTTAATTTTTTGTTTTGTTTTGTTTTGTTACTGGGGATCAAACTCAGGACCTTGCACTTGAGAGGCAGGTGCAGTGCCACTGAGCTAAATCCCTGTCCCCTGCAGTTTTTTTTTTTGTTTTTTTTTGGCATTAATTATTGAATTTATCTAATTTTATTGTATTTTAAAAATTGGAAAGAGTGAAACAGTATTTCCAAACACCTGAGAAATAGTACAGCATCTTCACATAAACAATTTGAAAGAAGACCAAGTTTAAGTTAGAATCTCATTTTATATAATGGATAACATAAATTAAGTCATCCTTTAAACCACACGTATCCAGTAAATAGTTGCACTTGTATATAAAGAACATTTGGTTTTCTTGCACTTGGTGAACATTTTATTGTTATTTATAACAAACGGCTGATACTATTAGCAACAGTTTTCATAGCTTCCATTGTTTCAAAAGTTAAACAATGTAATAAATAATAACAAAATAATATATTTCTTTTAAATTTTTTAAATTATGAAATATAGCTCAAAACAATAAGTTGGAACTAATGTATCTTCCAAAGTTTAAAAGGATAAATGGCTCAGAACTAGGCAAGTTAGGAACACTATAGGACAGAGAGCTTCCTTATAAGGAAATCAATCTAGAGATTGTTTCTCATTCCCTGAAGAGTTAAGTTGAAAGGTACCAGGGGTGGCAAATGATGCATATATATTTTTTAAAGTATAAAAACATCTCAGTAAGAAAAAGTTCCTCATTACCTGTTAACAGTGCAAAGTGCCATTTTAAATTCAAAAAGTAAAGATTTACTTGCATGTATACTTGTTTTAGAATAAAATATAAATATGAAACAGTACCCATATGAGGAATAAACATACAATAAAAACATATCTTTTAAAAACTGGGATATAAGAAAAAAAAACAAAAAAACCCCTGGGATATACATATCCTAATAGAACGATGTGAACAATGAGTTCTTATTTGAATGTCCAATTAAAATAGGAAACTTTAAAATAATAGGTATTTCTCTGAACAAATTATAATAAGACTCCATCCAGACTACTCTTCCAGTATATTTCTTGCATAAAATGGTCATTCCATATATCCTACAATTTATCTGAAAACTGGTAAGAACATTTGATGAAGCTTTAAAAATGGTTTTCTCTACTAAATTTGAACAAATAAAACTATACAAAGAAGTAATAAAGAGGCAAATAATTTACATGGCTATTGCTTTTGTGGGAATTGGTAGAACATGAACAGTACACTACAGTATCAGAATATTTGAGAAAGATATGATAGCCACAGATTTAACTTTAAATTCTCTTCTGAGGTAAAATTCTCTTGGATTTAATTATAGAAGTTTTCAATCCCTGGTATTTCCTCTCCCAAATCAAAAATTTTTGGTTTGGTTTTGTTTTTCGTTTGTTTTGCTGCTTGAAATATATATTTTTTGCATGAAATATATTTGTAAACTATACATTAAAAATAAAAATACAGAAGGAATGAACTTCCAGTTTGAATAAGTTAATGCTAACATGTTAAATGGCTTTTCAAGAAGTAGACTTAACTATAACATAGTTTTGCAATTCTGGATATAACATTTTTAGAGGAACTGTCAGCAAAACAAAAACTAAGGACAAGAAAATGAATTGGTAAGCTCAATCTACATTTCCGAAAACACCTTGTTTTTCTTTAAGCTTTTCAATGTAGTGGCATAGCTTCAGGGATGGCCCCAGCTTCAAACCCATATACTTAATGATTATGTCATTATTGAGCAGCAGCAGGGCTTTCCCATCAATTTCCTCAGGAGCCAGGTGAGGGGGCCTGATATCTGAGGATCTGTATGGTTCAGAAACTGGATCACATCTTCCACAGACCAGTTTAACGGGTTTTCAGGGAAGGTTTGTTTCACAGTATCAGTTTTAGATTCAATTGGAGAACTTGTAGCAAAATCAGCTGAGTATTGGAAAGATGTTCTAGGATGCTCACTCTCCGGGCACCTGGAACAGCTGCTCATGTCCAAGTTACATTTCAGGCCAGAATATCTCTGGGTCAGGGTTGCTGAATGTGATATTGTGGAAATTTCTGCAGGTGACATGTTGTTGCTGCCAGGATACCTGGGGCCGGCAGGCATATCAGAATATCTCACACATGTACAGTGAGTACGGCCACAGCACTGGTTAGGAACTGGTGAACCACCATAGAATGGCTCCTCCTGCAGGGGTTCCTGCTTGATTTCCTGTGATTCTTCATAATCCCAAAATGCCGTGTTTTCCTCATAATTATCTTCTGGTCTGCGAACTGGTGAAGTTGGGCTATAACTTTTAGAGTGAGAAAATGAAGTGAGACACTCTATTCTCTCCATTTCCTCGGCTTCAGCTCTTTCCAAATCTGAGAAACTCTGTCTTGTGAGTTGCTTAGGAGAGTCCCAATCGTGTTTCGCTTGTGAACACTGAATTTCTGACACCTTTCTATCAATAGCATCACATTTCTTATCTAGCAGTTGAACGGCATCATATATGACCTGACATTGGCCAATGACGACCTAAAGTTGTCTTAGTTCTTCTTTGTGGGGTATGTTCAGTTGAAATTGTTCCTGGTTATTGGAGGTGTTACACATTGTGCACCAAGAGAAATTCCACTTCCTCTGAGTTGAGCCTAATGATCTGTAAAGTTGCTGGTTATTTGTGAAACTGCTTGGTCACCTAAGAGTGACAAACCTTCTACTCCTCTGGGCAGAAATTCTTTAAATGCTGAGAACTTGATTAGCTCCAGTACAGTGGTCTGGTGGTCAGGTGTCCTCTGCGTCTTTGTAGTGTGGAACCAGGTGGCTGTAACAGAGAAGAGGCCAAAGGAGCGCGGGGCTGGGGTCCAGTGGATTGCTGCCGGGATGCGGGCTGATTCGGTGTATTCAGCGTAACTGGCGACCTCAGGACCGCATCTGCAGACCTGCCTGTCTGCAGCGGGCTGATTCGCTGTTTTCAGCGCGAATGGCGACCTCGGGACCGTGTCCGCAGACCTGCCTGTCTGCAACAGGCTGATTCGGTGTTTTCAGCGCGACTAAGAAAAAGAAAAGCCCAGGTCCTGATGGCTTTACTGCTGAACCTCGTGCAGCTCCTCGGAGGCCCTGGCGGCGGCGGGCGCGGCGGGGCCGCAACTCGGTTTCAGTTGGTCCTGCGTGGCTTGCGCTTCCTGCTCGGGCCGGGCGCGGTGCACCCAGGCGCCTCTCACGCTCCGCGGCGACTCGCGCGGCGGGGTTGTGCGCAGGAGCAGCTGCGCCACACGCGCTCCGGGCGCCCACGTTCACTGCCCGGCGGGCTGAAGGCCCCTGCAGTTTTTAATTTTTTGTTTGAGCTTCTTTCTGTACTGGAGATCAAACCCAGGGGTTCTCTACCACCGAGCTACATTCCCACACCTTTTTATTTTTTGAGACAAGACCTAAGTTGCTCAGGCTAGCCTCCAACTTTCAACCTTCCTGCTCAGCTTCTCAAGTAGCTGGGATTACAGGCATGTGTCATCACACTTTACTTTGTTATTTGCAATTTTATTGAAGATTATAATTCAAAGTTGTCGGCTTTGTTCCTTTCTTGCTGGGGCGCAGAATTCTTTTCTGACTCTTCCTCGAACACTCTTAACTTTGTCTCAATTTATTTTTCAGTGCTGAGGACCAAACCCGGGGCCTCATTCCTGCTAGGCAAGTGCTTCACTACTGAGCTTCACCCCAGCCCTTCCTTCTCCTTTTGAAAACAGCAGGGACTGGAGTCTGCGAGGTACGTGGGGCTGCATCTTTGTGTATCTGCATCTTATTTTCCCAGCGGGCCCTCTTGTCCTTTCCTAATCAGGTGGAGGTGAGTTCCTGTTGGGTCTGACGCTTCCGCAGGATCGAGGTCACAGGAAAGAATCAAAGTCAGAGCAGTGTTTCCTCAGCAAAGGAACAAGAAGATCAGAGCCTCGTCTCCTAGGGATCCAGCACTGGAGAGACGTGAGTCCTTGATGTTTTCTGAGTGTGGTTGTCTATCAGTTAGCAGTTTGCTCTTCACCTGAATTAAAAACTGTAAGCTGCTATGCACATGTACAACCTCAGGTTGCCTGAAGAGTGGTTTCTTTAATCAGAAAACACAGCACAAGTGCACTGCGAGCCCAACCTTGGGCACCGGAGGCTCTGGCTCCAACTCCAAAGCTTCTCAGGGTGTACTGTGCACGTTGGGGCCAGGCATGGCTAGAGCCCTCCCAGCAGAGCAGGTGAGCTTTGTTCGCTCATCAGGTTTAAGCCCTGAAACCGCGCCACCTGTCATCTGTTCTTGTGCAGGCGGAGGTAAGAGGTCAGTCTTAGCCAAAGGTAAAGGAATTAATGTGATCTGGGCGGCTCTTGTAAGATACTAGATAGGAAATGTGGGAGAATTTTTGTATGGGCAATGAGATTTTTCCTCTTATCCAAAATCAGACCTCCTATTGCTTCTCGCCCTATTTGGCTGTGATCAAGTGCAAAATCAGACTTCTGTGGCTGGCTAGGAAGGAAAACCTGTTTTTGTACTTTGGAGCTATGGATAAGAAATGCTTGTCAGCATGGTTTCTTTTCCTTCTTCTCCTCCTCCTCTTCAATCTGTTAATCCCTTAATCTGTTGGATCAGCTGGGAGTCTTGCTCCCAGCCCTGGGGTGGAGGCTGGGCCTGGGCCTGTGTCTGAGTCTGACCCTCTGCCAGCGTTTTCCCACCCCCAGTCCTGTTGTTTCCTCCCCCTAAGCGGGAAGGATCCAGAGTCCATTCCAGCAATGGTTCTTCTTTGTGTGACATTCTAATGTACACAGTTGATTTTGAGCAACTGCGCCTACGTGGCAGATTCCCCTCCTATAGCTGTGAGCATTTCGAATAGGCAGATTGTGAGTCAAAGCTGCTGAAGACAGAACAGAGGGAACCAGAAGTGAGCAAGGAGACAGGATTTTCAAGAGCATTACATGGTCACAGCATTCTGCTTGGGCTCCTGGAGGGACTTCCTGAAATTCAGCGTAAGCTTTGTCCCAAACAGCCCACTTTTCTCCCTCTTCAGGACCACACTGCAACCCAGGAGGTGGGGCCCACCATCCAAACCCTAAGCCAGGCCTCATGTGAGCTGGGGGCATGGATGTCCTTACCTTATTTGAGGAAATGTACATTTTTTGTCATATTCAAGGTTGCGGTGTTCTAGTTGAAGCTATTGCTGCTGTCAGTGGTGGGAAAGAAGCTCAATTACTTGGGTTTTCAAACATGAGCAATAATTACTGTTTTAATTGTTCTTTCTTAATGGTACTGGGGATTGAACCAGGGTCTTTGCACTGAGCTATGTTCCCAGTTTGTTTGTTTGTTTTTTGTATACAGGGTTTCCCTAAATCATTAAGTTCCCCAGGCTGGGCTCAAACTTTTAATCCTCCTGCCTCACCCTCCCAGAGTGCTGGGATTACTGGTGTGTGCTGCCATGCACCCAGCTACCCTGCCTGATTGCCTTAATAGGCCTGGTGCCTCTTGAAGACCCTGCCCCATTCATCCTCTCTCAGGACTTGGCCAGGCTGTGGGGCCCAAGTTGTCATCTTCCTAGTGCAGAGACTCTGGGTGCTTGCCTATCCCTCGAAGACTGCCATCCTTTCTTAGTTCTACTGCGTTGCCTCCTGCACACTCCCAGAATGCTCCTCGGCCTTCCCTGCATCTCCCTCAGCTTCTCCCGAACTGTAGGTGTGTTCCAAGCCTCCTCTGCGCTCACCTTCGGCTCACTGTCCATGCCTGGTGGATCCACTGCTTCTGCTGATGGTCTGGCTGCCTTCCTGGCCTTTGAAACGAGCCTGCAGGCCTGTGTCCTGAAGTTGGCGGATCGGCTGGACCAGAGTCACATGACTGCTGGCTATGCAGCTCCCTGGGTCCCGGGTCTGTGGGAACTGAGGTTTATGAAACCGCTTTCCCTCTCCTGGCCTCCCAAACACTGCAGACTTGGTGAATCCCACTGGTGTGGACCAACTGTTTGTGCAGCTGGCAGGATTTCCATCTGAACTCCTGATAGAACTCTGACATCTCCTGGGCCTTTCTATATTATCTCTGAGCTTTGGAAGCCCATATTCCAGCTCATTAACCATTTCGTAGGTAGCTTGTGACCCTAGGGAAAGGCACTAGAAGTCTAAGGAAGTTATAGCTTACATCATGGGCCAGTTAACATCATGCCCGAAGACAGGCATTCGGTCAGGCCGAGGAGAGCTCTGTGGTTTCGTCCAGTTCCAGAGTACAGATGCGGATCCTGTCTCTGGGTACGGTCCTCATTGCTGGTCAGAGAGTTTAATTGTAGGCTAATGGCACACTACGTTGGGACTGTTTTATTGAGAACAATAATCTATTCAATTTGGGTGGGGAAGGGAGAAAACTGTAGGATAAGGGAGGTCATTAGATTTGCACCTTGAAGAAGAAATCGGAATTTCTCCATGACATGGGGGAGGCAGACGCACTTCAGGAACAAGTCCTTTCCATCTCTTGAGCATGGGCTGTCTTTGTATTTTGTTGGGGGGGCGGCGGGAGGTGGGAAATGAGGTTGGTAAAATAGATTGGATCCCACTCGTGAATATATTGAGTAACAAATTATGTTAATATATATATGGTAACACCGGTCATGGTGGATCATGCATATAATCCCAGCACTTGGGAAGCTGAGGCAGGAGGATCTCCACAAGTTTGAGGCCAGCCTGGGCTACATATTAAGACCCTGTCTCAAAAAACAAAACAAGGGCCAGGGATTTAGCTCAGTGGTTCCGGTGCCTGCCACACAAGCACAAGGTCCCAAATTCCATCCCTGGTACCAAAACAAAAAACAACCCCCCCCCCCAAAATATGTATGCTAACAATGGGGAGTGCATTAGTAGAGTATTATCACAAGGTCTGATGTGATTCTTAACCTGATTTGATTCTAGAATAGTCTACAATTACTTAGTAGTCAAACCTGATTGCAGGCAGGTATAGTAGTTAGAATTGACATGCAAATAGCCATATTAAAAAAAAAAGAGTTTTGATAACCAGACACATTTCCTTAAACTATAGTCTCTAGTGGGAGATTTGTGAAAAGTTAACATATCTTGATCTCTTCAGATTTACATTAATATAACAATTACATATACACAATTTTCATTGCACTCATTTCCACATTATGGCTTCAAATTTTAAAACTTTGGGTTTCCATTTATATGCAAAATTTAACAACACTTAAAAACAGTCTTAGGTACATCAACATATCAGTACATTAAAATCATAATAGGACAGCGCTATTAAAATCACAATCCTTGCTTCCCATTAACTTTGACAACAGGTGCAGCAACACTAAAAGCCGTCCCAAGGGATCTCCTGGATTCCAGACACACTCTTCCCTTCAGCTAAAAGGTCTCAGGTCACTTCTCCACTGTCCTCTTCCTTCCCAACCACCATATTCTCCTGTTTCATCCTTGTAGTCCACAGCTCTGCTGGAGCCTCTCTGGCCAGACTTCAAATCACCCTGCTGCTTCTCCGCTCTTAATTTCTGAACAGATCCAGCCAAAAGCCCTCAACAGTAACCGTGGTACCTCCCAACAATATACTGCAATGTCTCCAAACAAGCAAAACGCAGACCAGCTTCTTGCCGAAGCTTGGCGTACACTGCCTGGCATCCAGCAGCCAGGGTGGTCCTCAGCAGAGGTTCCCAAACCTCATGCCATCTGGCCACATTTCCACAGTACTCTGGCCAGAGTCTGCCATATAGTTTAGAGGGTACCAGGGCTGCCTCTTTGGTCGGTCTCTCAAAACCTTTCCAAACTGATTCCCAAAGCTTTTAAGCTTAAGCCACATGGCCAGGCAACATCACAGCAATGTGGGTTTGAATCCCATCCTCATCACCAATTTTGTTATAGTCAGGGTTTTGGCAAGGGAATACATTTAATACAGGACGCATAATTTATGGGATTATTTTCTGATATTTACCCAAAAAGTCAGATACAGAGGAATGCAAGAGATTAGCCACACACTAGAAGCCTGAAGAATCCAGCTGAGGAGTTTCTCATACATGTCCAGCTGAAGGCTTAGAGTCTGAGGCAGTGTCCTCCATGAGTCCAGCCAGTGGCCTAGAGCCCACGGCAGTGCCTCATGCTTGTCCATACTGATGATCTGCACCAGGAAGGCCCAAAGGCCAGTGGTGGAAGCCAGAAAACCTGCACCGGTGGGGTGAAGCATTTGTGCCACCAGACTGAGGGATCCACACTGGAGCCAGGAAGTGAGGCTCACGGTGAAGATCAGAGCTCCCCTGACAAGAACAGCAGCCCTTCCCAGTGATAGTGAGGCCTGAGCTCCTCCAAGAACAGCCAAGTTCGCATCAGGAAAACCAACCACAGCAGGCTTCTCCTAGAAAATCAACAAGCCACAATCTTCCCCTCCAGTTCTCTTTTTATGCCCTTGGCAACAGTCATCAGGTGGGTCTTCCACGGCCAGAACCACGCTCAGTTCAGCTGGGTGATCCAAGCTGACCATTAGTTAATCCACCACAGTGGGCAAATGATCCAGATAGACTCTCAAAAGCAGAAACACAGGGCCGGGGATTTAGCTCAGTGGTGCCTGCGCCTGCCTCACAAGCGCAAGGTCCCAAGTTAGATCCCTGGTACAAAAAAAAGCAGAAACACAAATGATGACAAATCTATGAAAAAATGCTCGATATCATTAGCCACCAGGGAAGTGCACATCAAAGCTACAATGAGAGCCCAGCTTTGCCTAGTTAGAATGGCTATTCTAAAGAAAACTTGAAAAAATAAGAAATGCTGGCAAGGATAGGAAGAAAAAGGAACTCTTCCGCACTGTTGGTGAGAATGCAAATTAGCACAGCCATTATGGAAAACAGTATGGAGGTCCACAAAAACAGACTAGGCCTAATCTGTGAGCTGGAGCCTACTTCCGGGCATATAGAGCCCAGTGGATTAAGTCAGCGCAGCGAAGAGGTGCCATGTTTCTTGCAGCACTATTCCCAATACCCACGGTACAGATTCAGCCTAGGTACCATTCAATCCACGGGGAGATAAAGGAAATGCGGCCTAGACACCCCAGGGGATATTAGGCAGAAAGAAGGAGGAGGTCCTGCCACCTGAACAAAATGAGTGGTGCTGGAGGATGTTATGCAGAGGAAATAACCCAGGCTTAGAAGCACAAGTGCCGCATATTCTCTCACACGTGAAAGCTGAAAAATCTGAGCTAAATCTAGAATAGCAATTACTAGGGGATGGGAAAAGTGCTGGGGACGTGGTGGATAAAAGCAGATTGGAGTTGATCAGCGGATGCCATACGCATATATGGAAATAGCACACTCAACCATGTATGTTTAATATGTGCTGATCAAAAATAAAGGATAAAAAAGTGTTTCACCTTTTAGAAATATTTTCTGCAATATTTTTGGAGGAAATGATTTGCTTTGAGATAATAAGGGGGAGTGGAATGGAAGCAGGAATAGTACTGATCCTGGGTGTGGTGGTGCACATCTGTGATCCCAGCGCCCCAGGAGGCCGAGGCAGGAGGATTGCTGTGAGTTTGAGGCCAGCCTCAGCTACATAGTGAGTTCGAGGTCAACCTGGACTAATATCGAGACCCTGTATCAGAAACAGAAAAAGAAAAAACGGACTAGCTGGGGGGAGCCTGCGTAGAGGGTCTTGTGTTCATCCTCTCTCGTTCTATATGTATTTGAAGTTTTCCACAGTAAACATTAAAAAATGGTCATTGTGGTTATGTAACTGTGCTAGTCACAATTATTTCACCTTTTTTATTCACTCAACCCTTAGAACTTAATTGAACAGAGTTGCTAAATTGCCTGCTGTAGGCTAGAAGTTGTGATCCTCCTGTCTCAGCCCCCTAGAGTGCTGGGATTACAGGCATGCCCCACTGTGCCCATCTTATTTCAGGCCTTCTGGGCCACATGGTCTCAGCTGTTGGAATGTGAAAGCAGCTATAGACACATACATGAACATGGTTGTGTTCCAGTACAGGTTTATTTATGGATAGTGAAATTTGAATTCTGTGGATTTTTTTTTTTCTGGTCCAGAGAATTGAACTCAGGACCTTACGCTTGCCAGGAAGGCACAGCACCACTGAGCTATATCCCCAGCCCCTGAATTCTATGAATTTTAAAAAACTGTTTAAAATAAAAATCCATCCAGGCATGGTGGCGCATGCTTATAATCCCAGCACTCTGGGAGGGTGAGCCAGGAGGATTGCAAGTTTGAATCCCGCCTGGGCAAATTAGCAAGGCCCTGTCTCAAAATAAAAAATAAACAAGAGCTTGCAGGGCATATAAAGATAAGCGGCTGGTGTGTGTTGGGGGGGGTCGTGGTGGCATTGACCTACAGGCTGTAGCTTGTTGGCCTTTGCCTTAAAAGATTGTGTTCTGTTCAGGTCAACACTGAAGTCTCAGACCATTCTGCCAAATGCCCGGGTTACATGGAAATCAGCCATGGCGTAGGTTGACTGGCTTAAGTGTTTTTAGCCACAGTCTATTCTAAATCTGGGTTTTTCCATCAGCTGGGTGGCCTTACACGTGACCTGTTGGTGTCTCCGGTGAGCCGCTGGTTTAGGCAACTTTAGGATCCCTCTCATCCCAAAAATCCAACCCAAATTCTTTTTGCAGCCCTCTCCTCCTGATTTTGTAGTGGCGCGGCTCCCAGAGTTGCTTCCTGTGACCTCCCCTTTCTGTTCTTTTTTAATTTTTGGTTTTCGGAGTCAGGGTCTCCTATGTAGCTTGGGCTGTCCTGGAACTCGAGGCGACCCTCATGTCTCAGCCTCCCCAGTGCTGGGATTACAGGTGAGCGCCACCACCCCGGCCTATGGTTTGTATCTGTGAAGACATTGCTCATTTCCTCCTGTAGGGGTAAGATTCTTCCAAGCATGGTTTCCCACTCGGAGCTGAGGACGCTGTTCTGCGCGGCGGACGCCGTGTGCTTCGATGTGGACAGCACGGTGATCCGGGAGGAGGGCATCGACGAACTGGCCAAGTTCTGCGGTGTGGAGGAGGCGGTGTCGGAGATGTAGGGGCGCCCGGGTCCCGCACGGCCGTGTGGGAGGAGCCCCTGCAGGCAGAGGAGAAGCGTGTAGCTTGGGCAGGACAGGGAAGGCAGCCGGGGCCTCTAGGCCTACGGGTTTTGCATCACGGTTGTGTGGCCTCAGCAGGTCCCTGGGACAAGCTTGGGTCCATAGTCTCTTGGGAGGATCCTGGGTCAGAGTCCCTCCCTCCTTTTTTTGGAGGCAGTTTTGCTATGTCATCCGGGCTGGCCTTGAAGTCACTGTGTAGCCCACACTGGCCTTGAACTCTTGGCATCCTCCTGCCTCAGTTTCCTGAGTGCTGGGATCACAGGCGTGTGCCATGACGCCCAGCGAGTTTCCTCCTTTCTGCTATACTCTGCAGCAGCAGGGCCTCCCTGTGCTGCCCCCTGTCGCCAGGTTCCAGACTGTTGTGTGCTGAGGCGCTCGTGCCAGAGCGGCCAGCCTTTGGGTTCCTCCTTGGCCTAGGAGAGCTCCTAGCCCCGGAGGGGGTCCCCGTGGCGGATGTGTGGCTTCCTGGTTACTGGAGAGGTTGGATTTGTGGGTGCAGAGTACACAACTCACCTGGACCGCGCTCCCAGGGCCGCACGGCAGCCTGCGTGCGTGTGTCCACACCTTGAAGGGCCCGGGCCCCTGCAGGGCTGCCCAGCTGACTCGGCTCTGGTCTCCTAGGACGCGGCGCGCCATGGGCGGGGCGGTGCCCTTCCGAGCTGCGCTGGCCGAGCGCCTGGCCCTGATCCGGCCGTCCAGGGAGCAGGTGCAGAGACTGCTGGCCGAGCACCCGCCGCACCTGACCCCCGGTGTGAGGTAAGGCGGCCCGGCTGGGCTCCCCGTCCTGGTGTCTGCTGCTCCTGGCCTCGGCCCGCCTTTCTGTGCCGGGGATTGAACTCGGGACCTTGTGCTTGTGAGACAGGCGGCGGCACCACTGAGCTAAATCCCCGGGCCTTGAATTTAATTTTGAAACAGGGTTTCACTAAGTTGCCCAGCCTGATCTCAAACTTGTGACCCTACTGCCTCAGCCTCCCAGAGTACTGGGATGACAGGCACGGACCACCATGCCCTCCTGTTTCTTCATCTCGTGTTTTCTGGGTTCGTGAGGGTCTTAGAAGACAGCTGTGTGATAAGTGGAAAGGCATCAGCCATTCATTTTTCAGCGCATTCAGAAAAACAGAAACGTGAATCAGCCCTGTTAGCATCTTGTCCGATGCTCCTCGGAGGAATGCGCTCAGGAGAGAAAATATATTTTAATTCTTCCATTTTTTTTTTGTATTAATCACAGTTTGGTGTTTTGCATTTCTTGTTGCAGGGAGCTGGTAAGTCGCCTGAAGGAGCGTGGAGTTCAGGTTTTCCTAATCTCTGGTGGCTTTAGGAGTATTGTAGAGCATGTTGCCTCCAAGCTCAATATCCCAGCAGCCAATGTGTTTGCCAATAGGCTGAAATTCTACTTTAACGGTAAGACTGCGTCCCTCTCCTGTCAGACCTGTCCTCGGGGTCCCGGGCGGTGTCCACTGAGGTCCATATTAGAAGCTCTCTGGACACAGGCTTCTGTTGTTTGGAAAATGGTGCTCTGCAACAGACTTAGCTCAGCACCTGTCCTAGCTTTAGTGTCCACATCAGCACCTGTCTGTATATAAATGACCGCATGGAAGCCGAGCACGGTGGTGCACACCTGTCTTCCTAGCACCCGGGAGGCTGAGGTAGGAGGATCACCTTGAGTTCTAAGCCAGCCTGGGCTGCATAGCCAGACCCTGTGTCAGAGAAACAAAAAATCGAAAATAAGTTGAAATCTCCTCTTACGTGAAATGACATCTTAATATAGTAAATGTAGTATATTTTACTATTTTCGGGTGTTCGCCACCTCCACAAGTTTAGAATCACTACACAGCAGCTTGAAGGGAACAGCTAATTCACTCTGAGGTGCTCACGACCCCGTAGAGCCTCCCTTCTGAGAGGGGTTTGTAGAAAGCAAAGCTTACTCTGAGGAGCAGGGTGGGAGCCCCCGAGAGGAGACCCCCTCTCTGAGGACCATTTGTAGCCTACTTGGTGACATTTCAGTGTGTATGTCATTTATGCGCCCAGCATTAACACTGTTCTAACTGCTCTTTCAAGGTGAATATGCGGGTTTTGATGAGACACAGCCAACGGCCGAATCTGGTGGGAAAGGAAAAGTAATCAAATTTTTAAAGGAAAAATTTCATTTTAAGAACATAGTCATGATCGGAGATGGTGCCACAGACATGGAAGCCTGCCCGCCCGCTGTATGTACCGGGGGATTCTTCTCTTTGGTGTAGCCTTGTTCTAGGCAGCTGGTTTAGAACTATGCAGGGTTTACAGCAGGAGTTAAACAAAAATAGCCGAGATCATTATAAAACAAAGTGAAAACACAAAACACCCAAAAGCATCTCGTGATGTCAACTGACTTTTTTGCAAACCCAAGAAAATGTATGGATGAGGAGCTACTACTTTTTCTGGTTTTTTTTTTTGGTACCGGGGATCAAACTCAGGACCTTGCACTTCCAAGGCAGGCACCGGAACCACTGAGCTAAATCCCTGGCCCAGGAGCTACTACTTTTAAGACTTTTATTGCCGGGTGTGGCGGTACACTCTTATAATCCCAGCACTCAGGAGGCTGAGGCAGGAGGATCACTGGGAGTGCAAGGCCACCTGAACTAGTACCGAGATCTTGTCTCAAAAAACAAATAGAAACTTTCATTGACTCCATGTACCTGTGGTCTGGGCACTCAACTTAGCTCAGATGTGTGCTCAGTAAAGTTCTTTATTTTTCCACATAATCCAATCAACAAGTCTTACAGTTATAACCGAGATTTTTTATTTTTTATTTTTGGAGACAAGGTCTTTGCATGTAGTTTAGGCTGGCCTCAAACTTGTGGGGATCTTCCTGCCTCAGCCTCCCAAGTGCTGGGATTACAGGTGTGTGCCACCATGCCAGGCAATAACCAAGATTTTAATGTCATTTGTACAGAGTGCTTCCTCACATATTATCTCATTTAATTCTCATCTTTTTTGCTGATGGGAAAACTGAGACTGGGGGAAGGAGATGAGATGATTTGCCTGAATCAAAGCATTTTATTTTTCTGAAGAAATGTTTTCTGATACTAGCAGAAATTTCTAAGAATTTTAAAACTAATACAGGAAGCAAATGTAAATAGCCAATGGCTGTCAAGTGTGTCCATTTCACATAAGTTTTGTCCCTATTGTGTTGTACTAATTTAGAAAAAACTGACCCAAAGCCAGGCGTGGGGGCACATTGTAATCCCAGCACTTGGGAGGCTGAGGCAGGAGGATTGAAAGTTGAGTCCTGCTTGGGCAACTTAGTGTGACCTTGACTCAAAAATCAAAAGGGCTAGGAATGTGTAGGGCCCTGAGTTCAACCCCCAGTACCACCAAAGAAACAAAAAGGATTTTCTCTTCTTCTGCCACAATACAGACACAGCATTCTCTTGCTTGTCTCTTTGTTTGCACATCGTATGAGGGAAAAAAGACAACACTGGAATCTGCCCTGGATTTAGTCCTAAGCGATCTCTGCCTCCCCAGCAGCACCAAAGCGGTCTCCTGCAGCTCGATCCGCTTCTGTGTGTGGACTCGGGGTCACCTCCTGGGACCGCGTCTCCCTCAGCAGCCTTCCTGTGGGTCACAGACCCCTCTGGCAGTGACACACCTGTGTGCACACCGTTTTCTCCCCTCTCCTCACACTCACCACTGAGTGGTAGACAGGGTCATCTGGGATTTATCATTTTGTCTCTCTTTTTTTTTCCATTTGAACCCAGGGACCTTTGCACTGAGCTACTTCCCAGCCCTTTTTTTTTTTAAATTTTGAGACAGGGCCTCACTAAGTTGCCTGGGGTGGGCTCAGAGTTACAGTCCTCCTGCCTCAGCCTCCCCAAGTGCTGGGATGACAGATGTGGTGCAATGATGCCCAACAAGAAACCACCATTTAAAAAAAAGATTATTTTCCAAGCAGGGTGGCACATGCCTGTCATCCCAGCACTTGGGAGGCTGAGGCAGGAGGATCACTGTGAGTTGGAGGCTGGCCTGGACTACATGGCAAGACCCTGTCTAAAAAAAAAAAAAAAAAAAGGATCATTGACTAAAAGAAGGTATCATTTAGTAGACCGAAATGATGGTGTAATGTAGAAATTTTAACCATGAAAGTAGAGACACTAGGGTTGTCCTCTCCTTCCTGCCCTGAACAGCCCAGCCCACCATCCCCAGGCAAGGACCTGCTGGTCACCGAGGTCACTGCCTGCATGGGTGGGTCAGGAGGTGCCGGGTATGGCCCTGACTCTGGGTCCAGCAGGGCTGCTCCTGCCCTGCAGGGTTCTTTGAGGTTAACCTGGCATGGATGTGTTTGCTGCCCAGTTTAGAACAGTCTTTTATCTCGGGACCTCATTTGATCTTTGAAAGCACCCTGGAGATTTTTTGTTTTTCAGATTTTATTTGGTACCGGGGATTGAACTTTGGGGATTGAACTCGGGTCCTTGTGCTTGCGAAGCAGATGGCAAAGCCACTGAGCTAAATCCCCAGCCCTTCCCTGGAGGTTTTGAGAGGGCCGAGCACACGGTCCTTTTCCCAGAGCCTCCGAATCATCAGATGGGGAGACTCAGCTTCTTACCACTCAGGGGAGGACAGGCTGACCTTTTTTTGTATGAAGTTCATTCTTTCAAACAAAAATATTGCCCTCACACCAGGTGTGGTGGCAAACACCTGGCATCCAGCACTCAGGAGGCTGAGGCAAGAGGATTGTGCGAGGTGGAGGCCATCCAGGGCTACATAGTGAGTTCAGGGCCAGCCTCCTTATTGAGGCCCTGTCTCAAACAAAAACAAACAAAATTTGCTCTGACCTGCTGCATTACGTACTAAACAAAATTTACCCACTTTTTTCCTTTTTAGGATGTTTTCATTGGATTTGGAGGAAATGTGATCAGGCAACCAGTAAAGGACAATGCCAAGTGGTACATCACTGATTTTGTGGAGCTTCTGGGAGCACTGGAAGAATAATGTAAGTTTTTATGCACCCTGCAACAAAACTTTCGGTTAACTTTTTTTTTTGCGGTACTGGGGATTGAAATCAGGACCTTGCATTTGTGAGGAAGGCACTGTGCCACTGAGCTACATCCCCGGCCCCAAAACTTGCAATTAACTTTTTTTTTTTTGTACCAGGGATTGAACTCGGGACCTTGTGCTTTCGAGGCAGGCGGTGGAACCACTGAGCTAAATCCCTGGCCCTCAACTTTTAAAAGTTATGCAGAGCATACTGGTAGCTTGCAGTTGCCAAGGACAACATGATACATAAAGTTGGTGCCGATTCTGTGTACACTCACATAAACTATGGTTAGGACTCCTTGATGGTGGGGTTTTAAAACATAGTATTTTATCATGACTATTAATTACCTGGAGAGTTTTATCATCTGAATTCTTATGTGTAACCCTAGCTGTATTTTACCTGAAGCCTTTTAAAGGCATATAATAAACTAAACACTTTGATTCAGACATTTGGGTTCTGCATCCTTAATGCACACTGGTTATCCCTTGGTATAGAAATAAGTTTGTCTATCAGGTTTGTGAGGTTTGAGTCCAGTTAAGCGCCCAGTGTTTCGGGTGAGGGAGCTGAGCTTTCTCTGTGTCTCTGTCCCATTGGCCACCTCGGAAGAACTGTCCACTGTCCCTGAGGTCCCCAGCGCTCTGCTTCCCAGGGACACGGGAGGCTGGGGACAAGGAGATGGCTCTGTTGGAAGGAGACAAGGGGCCTCTGCTCGCCCCGGAGCCCCGTCTGACCTGGTGCAGGTGCGAGAGGCTTGGCGGTGAGGAGCTGGAGAGGCGAATGGAGAGAGTGGCGGGTGGCGGCCTCTCACGGTTCCAGCTAGCACCTGCAACTCTGTCCACTCAGGAGCCAGGACTCCAGGCCTGCGCCACCATGCCTGGCTGGTCAGTTTCATTGTTTATGAGCGCATGTTTGCAGTACCTGAGGGTTACGTTCCCGTGGGGACTGAGCCAAGCACCTAAAGCATCTTAACGCTTTCCTCATTCCCTTCCCTTCCCCTCCCCTCCTCTCCCTTCCCTCCATCTCTGATTCCCCTATTTGAGAAAGTTCAATTTTTAAAAATCTATTTTATTCTTTTTTTTATGGTTTAAACATACTTTCTTTGTATATATAAAATGCTCTGTGTAGTTAACCTCAACATTGTTCACACTGACTTCAAGAGTTCTGTTTTTGCTTCCTTTCAGCCGGAACCGCCATCTTCCAGTAATTTGCCAAAATGACGAACACAAAGGGAAAGAGGAGGGGAACCCGGTATATGTTTTCTAGGCCTTTTAGAAAACATGGGGTTGTTCCTTTGGCCACATACATGGGAATCTACAAAAAGGGTGATATTGTAGACATCAAGGGAATGGGTACTGTTCAAAAAGGAATGCCACCCAAATGTTACCATGGCAAAACTAGAAGAGTCTACAATGTTACCCAGCATGCTGTTGGCATTGTTGTAAACAAGCAGGTTAAGGGCAAGATACTTGCCAAGAGGATTAATGTGCATAATGAGCATATTAAACACTCAAAGAGTCGAGATAGCTTCCTGAAATGGGTCAAGGAAAATGATCAGAAAAAGAAGGAAGCCAAAGAGAAAGGCGCCCAGGTTCAACTGAGCGCCAGCCTGCCCCACCCAGAGAAGCACACTTTGTGAGAACCAATGGGAAGGGAGCCTGAGTTGTTGGAACCCATTCCCTGTGAATTCATGGCAGAAGCTGGGGATGTACCTCTGCCACGCAGCACCTAATTAGGGGCTGAGTGCCCTAAGCACTACTTCAAAATAAAAAAATCATCCTGTGTTGTAAGGATGGTTTTCTTAATTGAACAGGTGTGTGGCGCCTTTACCTCAAAGAAACAAATATTTGGAGCAGATTCTCATTATACCCAGTTAATTGTGTCAGGTCTTTACTCTTCAGTGTTTTTCCTGCTGAAAGATGTGAGGTATTGTGCAGATGCCTACTCAAATGGCCAAATATTTATGAAACATTTATATTGGCTTAAAGATCCTCTAAATCACCTTGGGGACAAGATGTATCAAAATAAATGGAAGTCAGTATATGGCATTTCAGTTCAATAAATTGTTTAAAGCACACTTAAAAAAAGAGAGAGAGTTCTGTTTTTGGGCCAGGGATTTAGCTCAGTGGTTCCGCCACCTGCCCCGTAAGCTCAGGGACCGAGTTTGATTCCTGGTACCGAAAAAAGGGAAGAGTTCCGTTTTCCACGTTCAAGTTCCTTGGTTGCTGCTGTTGGTTTTCTTTCAGGATCAAGGTGGGTACTTTCATATAAAATCTTATTTATTCCTTCTCTGGCGATTCTTTGCTGGATTCTTTCCTTTGCATAATTATACCTGCAATGGAACCAGCATCCTAAAGTCACCACGATAAATCCTCCTACACCAACATCATATGATCTAATTCTGCCTTCCCCTCTCCAGGTTTGCCAGGCTCCAGTGTGGTGGCCATGACCAGGAGTCAGCGGTTCCCACACCCGCAGCGTCCACCCAGCTGCTGGCAAATGTATAGTTAACTAAGAAACAGCAGAGAAAGCCTCTTGTTTTGTTTTGGGTTTTTTTGGTACCGGGATTGAACTCTGGACCTTGTGCTTGTGAAGCAGGCGGCAGAAAGGCCGAGCTAAATCCCCAGCCTAATCTATTTTATTCTTTACAGCTCTGGGAAAGAGTGGGTAGAAGTTCCTTTTTTCATCTCTTAAAATATATGTGGAATGTAGTAAAGGTTTTATAAAAGAAAATAATGGAGCCTTAAAAGTATTGGCCTTGGGCTGGGGATTTAGCTCAGTGGTTTCCGGTGCCTGCTGTGAAAGCGCAAGTAGCCGAGTTCGATCCCCGGTACCAAAAAAAAAAAAAAAAGTACTGGCCTTGCCAAGAGTGGTGGTGACCCACACCATCCAGCCTTGGGGAGGCTGAGGCAGGAGGATCCCTGAGAGTTGGAAGCCAGCCTGGGCTACACAGTGAGTTCAAGGCCAACCTGAACTACATAATGGACTCTATATATATAAAAAAAAAAACCTACAAAAAAAGTACTGGTCTTAAAAATAGATATTTGAAAATTACATCAAGTAGAACAAATAAGTTTTTCTAATCACAAAGATCAGCTTTTTCCCCTACACAAATTAACAAACTCCCAACAGCATTTATGAATAATACAAATGAGTTGGAAAGACAGGCCTGCAAAGCAGGTTCCTATTTTGAGCGGTATCAAGAAAGGAAATTACAGAAAGAGCTTTGGAAGTATGAGATTCTCCCCTCCCTAGTAGAAAAAGGGGAAAGGAGAGACACAAGATTTGGGAGAGTTTCAAAGTGATGCTGGTGGACAATTGAGCAGGAAAGGCTGGAAGGCTGTTTTGGTGTGGTTTTGGGGTTTGGGGACCAAACCCAGGTGCTCCACCGTGGAGCTGTGTCCCAGCCCCAGTCATGTTTGAATATTGGAAATTATTTTAAAAACTTATCACTTAACCAAATAGCCCAATAATTAGCTAACTAAATCAGGTGTGCCCAATTTTCTTCCAAATCAGTTTCTGAGCTAGGCCTGGTGGCGCCCACCTGTAATCCCAGCACCCTGGGAGGCTGAGTCAGGAAGGTCGAAAGCCCAGCCTGGGCAACTCAGCCATTTGCTGAGACTCAAAATCAAAAGGGCTGGGGAAAAGATTCAGTTTCTGTAGGAGATGCAAAATAAGGTTGGCAACCATTAAATGAGCTCACAAAACAAGGCAGTTGTTTCTCAATTGTGAACGCCTCCTGGCACTGCTCCTTGGCGAGGTTTGCGGTGTGTGAGGAGCGGCGCGGCGCCCGGGCAGGACCAGGCCTGCAAGTCTGCGAGGCGGACTGGGCCCCCGGAGGCTTAGCCAGAGCCCAGGATGGGGGTGTGGAGCTGGGCTCAATGTTGGGGTCGCCGGAGCCGCCGTGCACGGGCAGGGCTGACCCGGAAGCGCGCACTGGTTCTGATCTGCGGAGGGATCACGGTGCCCGTGCAGAACTAGCTTACTCGCTCCCCCGACCCCTAGCTCTTTCCTCCCCCTTCTCTCTTTCTGGATTGAACCCAAGGCCCTCACACTGAGCCACATCCCCAGCCCTTTTTATTTCTTTTGAAACAGGATCTTGCTAAGTCATTGAACTGCCCAGGCTGGCCTCGAATGCGATCTTCCAGCCTCAGCTTCCCAGAGTGGTGGGATTACAGGTGTGTGCAGCCTCTAGAACCTTTCATACAATACACAGCGCCTTTCTCGAACACAGGCTGCCCAGCTCCGAGCAAAATGCCCGAAGCAGCCGTTTGGAGTAACACTAGAAATCTGCCATCCTCGCCTACTTTTTCAGTTTTGGAATTCCTGGGAATGTTTCCGGCCGCTCAGGGTTGCGCCCTGCTTCTCTTGCTCTCTCTCTCTCTGGTGACAAAGGGAAGGGGTTTATTCAAAGCCAGAGGTAAAGGCAATGGAGGGGCCTCTGGTTGCCTCAAATCGCCGTCTCCCTCCGTTCAGGCCGCAAGGACTTTGGGAGCGAGAAGCCGGGCAACACCAACACCCACCACAGAGAGCTCATTTCCAGGCTGCTCTGCCCGGGCCTGCGGGGTGCAGTCCCTCCCGGCGGAAATGAGGCCTCCCCAACCTCTGGGTGCATCCGGATTGTCACCTGGGCTGCGGAGGGAAGTGGGTGGCCGTTGTGCCCTCTGCATGAAGAAGTTCAGAGGCAGCCGATCTCTAAGTGAAAAACCTTGTTTGTTATTTATTTTTGAGACAGGGCCCCGTTAGGTAGTTCAGGTTGGCCTTGAACTTGGTGATCCTCCTGGCTCAGCTCCCCCCCCCCCAAGCTGGGATTACCGGCGTGTGCCACCATGCCCATCTTCTTTTTTGAGACAGTCTCACTAAGTTGCTAAATTGCCCAGGCTGGCCTTCAATTTGCAGTCCTCCTGCCTCAGCCTCCCAGAGTGCGGGATTACAAGGGCGTGCGACCGTGTGTGTGTGCGCGTGTGCGCGCGCGAGCTTCTCCTTAATTTGCTGCTCTTTTCCATCTGCTCACGCAGCCTCACCTGAGATCCTGTAATCAGACGATTTGCAAAGGAGGTCCCCATGCCACATCGCATCCCCCCAACACCTACCTCCTCGCGATAACTCCACCTGGGCACATCCGCCGACAAAAGGAAGGCAGAGAAGGCAGCTACACCTCAAAGTGTCGTTCTTGCATCCTCTGTTTGCTAAGGGGACAGTGGTGCCCACCATTTAGTGGCCCATGAGTGATGTCTTAGTCACCCGACAGAAAGCTGCAGTGTCCACTGCTGGGACAACACACCTGACACCCTGAAGTCCACGGTCGCAGGCACAAAGGCAGGGCGGCCTGGCAAAGCAGAAATGCTCGCCTCAGGGCGCACAGGTAGCAGTGAGAAGAGAGGAGCGGGAGGGAGATAAACCCTTCCAGACCACGCCCCGCGACCCGCTTCCAATCAGGCCCCACCTTCTAGCTGCAAGTCACCTATGGCCTCCCATGATCCATCACCTTCCAAAGGGCCCGCCTACTTGCTTGTGCGACACTTGTGGGACATGCGATCTAAACCGTAACATTGGATGAGGCAATGTGGAGAACGATGGAAGATTCTTAACGTCTTCAAGGGGTCATTTTATTTGTTTTGGTTTTTTTTTTTGCACCGGGGATCTAACTTGGGACCTTGTGCTTGCAAGGCAAGCGCCGGAACCACTGAGCTAAATCCCCGACCCTTGGGGGTCATTTTATATATATTTATATTTCTTTTTTTCAGTGAGGCAGGGCTGAGTTACCCAGGCGGGCCTTAAACTTGTGATCCTCCTGCCTCAGCCTCCTGAATAGCTGGGATTACAGCCACCTACCACATCAGTGAGCCCAGCTAGTGCACACAATTTCTAAGTGAAAAGTCCCTCTGTTCCCAGCATTTTTTTCCCCAGTTCTGAATAGCTAGGTTATTTTTCCTACTACTATATACGAATTCTGCCATTTTTCTCACAGAAAGTACTTTCATATAAATCGTTCTTTTCTTCAAATTCATCTTACAAATGTGTGCCTGGCACTGTGCCTGGGCTGGGGAGGAGGGCAGGGACGAAAAGTCCTTGTTGTCAAGGAGTTGAGTCTCCGAAGGACTCAGCTGGGTCAAGAAGAATTGTTATTTTCAGAAGAGCTCAAGGAGGAGGTTGAGCGGCTGCGCGTGATGGGTTGCTCATTTTGAAGGTCAGGACTCCCAGCAGAGTCGCTAGGGCTTCAGGGCAGATGAGACTTGCTGATGCTCAACACAGCTTCTGTCCACACTTCGGCTCCTCTTGCGGGACCAGCAGTCTCAGCAGAAGTTCATAAAAAGGCCCCAAACATGGAATATGTGAAAACTGAGAGGGGTTTATTGACTTTGGTATTTTCTTGGAGGAAACCATTCACATGTAAGTTTGACATCTGATATGAGATTTCTGCACGCTTTATTTTACACATAAAGTCTTCAACTTGTGGGGCAGATGGAATTTTTCAGTTCACCGGGTCACTCACATGATTACAGTCAGGAGACTGGCACACTGTGTTAAAAGGAAATCACACAGAGCGAGGCCAAGCACTGTATGCAGCTTTAGGCCGACTAAAACCTCATCATGCACTGCCCTCCACACCATCTCGGGAGTCCACTGTGCGTCCTGAAACCCTTACTGGGGACCGACGGAGGTTACAAGTGATTCTTTACAAAATAAAACCTCTTTGCCAAGTACTACTTGTTTTATAGAAAAATATGACAAATAAAAATTAGTGCTATTCAAGGTGTTCATTTCAAAAATCACATATGGTACACAGGTTCAGGCCTTCTTTCCCCGTCATGGGGGCGCCACGTGGCCTGTGCGAATTACTAGTTAAATGCGCCTTGTCTTCCATGGCCGGCTCTATTCCGATTGGTGAGAAAGGAGAGTGAATTCAAACATCTCCAGTGCTGGGTACACTCACAACAGTGCCTAGCTTGAGACTCGGGAAAACTGCTTGAGAAACATGATAAAATTCATATTTCTTCTGAGTACAAGAAATTTGTCAAAACCTGTGATTAAAAAATGCATTTGCTTTTTAGAAAGAAATGGTTGGTTTTTTTTCATGGTTGGAATCTTATTCTGAAATGATTCCAATTTTAATCTGGCAGGGAGGGAGGGAAGGCTAAGTCTTCCACAGTTGGTTTGACAAATTTATGGGGGGGTCTCAGGCCGGCAGAGCACTGCTACAGTCTCTGTAATACGGTCTCCTTTCTCATGATTATGTCAGCTTTAGAGAAGAGGCCTCCTGTAAGCTATGTACAGTCATCTATAATTCAGTTTCTTTTTTCACTTGATATACAATTAAATTAATTCATGACAAATACTTGCCACAGACATTTACGTGGGTACAGACTCATTCTCTAGCTTTACTGCAGGGGAGAGGTCTTCAGAGGGATCATGATTCGTGACTCCATTTCCTGAATGAGTGGGACTGAAAACAGGAGAATTACTGTGCTTGTTCCTTTCCAAACACATCATGGTACAGACACATTAACTAGCGGATAAGCTGCTAAGCATCCTCGGAAGACAGGCTGCTTTGAAAACAACAGAGTATCAGCAAACAGAACCAATCTCAGCAAGCTAAGGATAGAGAAGCCGGAGTCCCGTGAGACACTATTAAAACCAAAACATTCTTTCTGGAGATGTGTTTGATTTGTGGCAAATTAGGAAAGTCCATATTGAGAGAAAAGGGTGATTTCTGCAAAGGATCTTTGAACTACAGTATTGATATAAAACCAAATATCCCGTACAAAGATACGGATGGACTAAACTTTCTGCTGAGGAAAATACACCTCTGGGAACTGATAAAAGTATAAGTAAGCTATAAAATCCCATGCAATTATGATTTTTTTGAACTAAAAGACAAGATAATACCTACTCCTGTCATCAGTGACTCATGTTCTTGGTCGTGCACAGCTGCATGTACCTGGCTTGAAGCGTGCCTGGCATTTATGGCCTCTTCAGTACACTGGGCCACATTTAGCCCAGCCGTTTTCTTATACAAATCAAACCAACAGGATTTCCTAATACATGTGCACGCACGTCTGTGTCTACACGCACGCATTGTGCATTTGCAAAGTTAATTTGTCGAATTTAATTTCAAACTTATTCTTTTGCTTTTTGGTGCTGGGGATCAAATCCAGGGCTGAGCCATCTCCTCAGCTCCCACTTTATTCTTTTTCATTGATGTACTAAGTTATGTCTTTGGGCAATGACAATTTTGATGAAAAGCAGAACGCTCAGAAAAAAAATGTGTGTAATATATTTTCAGAGAATACAGAATTCTACAAAAAGGTAATATTGTAAAATTTACAACATCCAAGAACTTGAAAACAGAATCAGGCAACATTCATACTTGAAAGAATGAATATTCTAAAAAATGTATTCAAGTATTAAAGAAAAATCTATCTCCCCTCTTTCCAACCTTGTAACTCACCATCTTAACAACATAATTTTTTTTGGTACCAGGGATCAAACTCAGGACCTTGCGTTTTCGAGGCAGGCATGGTGCCACTGAGCTAAATCCCCGACCCCCTAACATAATTTTTGAAATACATATATTAACTTCAGGGTGAGAATACAGCTACAACAATAATCTGAGAAGCATGAAATGTTTCAAGATCACCTGTGTAATACACCAGCTCCTCCCAGCCGGGTTTGTGCCAGGCTGAGTTCCGCGTGTCCTCCCGGCTCTGCAGATCCTTGTAAGCTGAAGAAGAAACAGAGAGGAAGCCGGACTCAGACCAAGCCCAGCACCACCCCCACCAGCCCCATCCGGCTGGTCCCGTTGCTGCAGCTCTGGCAGTGAGGACTGAGCCCGGAAAACTGAGAGCCTGTTATGCTGTGTGAGGCCTCACAAACGTCAGTCCAGGGAGCCCTGGATATGCTTACACAGCAAGGGAAGTTTTCAGACGAGATCGGGTGTGTTCAGGGTGATGTGGCTGTAGAGAGCAAGGGAGCTTTTCAGTAACATGTTAAAACATAACCAGAAACTGTAGGGCAGCTGCTAACATCACATTCTCTTTTGTTCAACATGGGCTGGGGGCATTGCCATGAAATGGAGATTCCGTTTTATGGTGGTGCAGTGTGAGCTCAGCATGCATGAGGCCCTGGGTTTGTCCCCAGAACCTTAAAAAGTAAAGACAAATAAAGTTTTGCTCAATATTTATAAAGCCCTGTGTCAGTTTAGGAAGAGACTGCGTTTAGTGCAGTGGAGAACAGAGATAAGAAAGGTAAGGCCGGGCCCTGCTGAGGGCTATGGCCAGGAAGGAGACCTTCGGGCTGCTTGAAGGGCGGGATGGGACCAGGTGAGTCCTGAAGGTTGGGAAGGACGGCACTGACCTGGAAGGAGAAATGCTCAGGCGATGGGACAAAGGGTCCAAGGTGTGGCTTCAACTTGGTATCTCAGAGCATAGCTTCACAGACACCTGGCATGGACACTCAGGTTCCGATTCCCGCCCTGGGCGAGACCTTCCCCAAGCTGCTGGGTGAGTGCCCACATGGCGGTAGCCAAGACCAGAGGACCCAGGTCTCCTTCCTCAGTCCAGCTTCCATCTGGAACAGACGCCTTCTTCCTATGAGCAGCCCTGGCTTGCTCGCCTTTAACCTTACCCACCCCAGACTGAAATCTTCTTCTGTCATCTATACATAGGATGGATGGACTTTTCATTTAAAAAAGTTTTAGGGGCTGGAGGTCCAGCTCAGTAGCAGAGTATCTGCCTAGCATACATGAGACCCTGGGTTCAGTCCCTAGACAGGAAAAAAAATAACATAAAAAATAAAAAATGTTTTACTACTGTAAAAAAGTCCTTTGGTAGCTGGTCTACTTCATGTAGTAGAATCTCCTCAGGTTCATCCATGTTAGAAAACGTAGTGACTTTGATTCCATTTTATGGCTGACAAATGTCTGTACCTTCCACACCTTGTTTAGGCATTCTTCACGTGACTCTGGGGCCAGGATGCTTTTGAACGATGGCACTTAGCATCCAGACAGGAGGTTGGGGCAAGAGTTCGAAATAATAACAAACTACTCTGCCCTACCTCAAATCCCTGAGGGTTAAATGACATGCAGTATAATCTCAAAAGGTAGATAAGTGTAGAACAGATTTGGTTTCAAATCTACTACATTTGAAAACTCTTGATATTCATGGGGTGAAATAAATCTCAGCTAGAAAACTAAACTCTCAGAGACAACCTTGCCCTCTGGTGTCCTAGGAAGTGGAAGGAGACTGGTGGCCTCTACTGAACAGTGTGGCAGGAAGTCCCATGGTGCAGCTGAGCTGGGCTCAGTGTCCGGGTGGGAAGCAGGGATTTCTGGGAGTTGGGATGGGGTCTCCTCCTCACACTCCGAAGGGTGGGGGACCCAGGAGCACAATGTAAGGTACTTTTTTTTCTTTTTTGCCTTAACTTGCCCTTTCAGACCTAGGTTCCTGGCTATCCCACCATGGTCACCAGCCTGCACTGTTGTTCATGGGTCTCATTAATTTTATAATTTCCTGTGTCTCCACCACAGCCTTCCCCCCTACCTTTACCTGTCTGTTCCCCCAGGTCCTGGGGTCCAGCTCACCTCCCACCTTCCAGATTCCCCAAGGACCTGTAATGTTATACCCCCTACTCTCCTCAGTGTCTCTTACCAATCACACACTGCCTGTGTCACTGTTACTCACGTTTGCTTTATCCTCAGTAGATGTGTCTTTCATCTCTTTGTAGACCCAGCTATGCCAACACAACAGCACAGGCAGGGACACAACACTAAAGCTCTGGGTGAACTGACGAGCTTAACGGCCTTTTACAAACGTGCCCGGAATGCACTGGCCGAATTACACCAAGCTACCACTGAGACCGTTTCTGCTCTAGCAGGAAGAGAAGCATCAACAGCCGTCAATGTGACAACCATACGAAGGGCCTGGTGGCTCACAGGAGGGCGGCATTCACCGGTGGGGAAGGGCTGCCACCCGAATCAGGCCTCCCTCGAAGATACCAAAACTGGTGCCCACACACCTGCATGGGGTAGAAAAGGTGAGGGAGCGGCGTCCGGGGTAGGGCCCACCAGTGAGAGCCCACACGTGGGAGCTGCCGGCCAGGGTAGAGCACAGCCCCGGCTCTGAACACACAGGAAGTCAGCCTGGGAGGGGCTCTGCGGCTCTATCATCTTGCGTCTAACACGACTACTTGTTTCACTTCTTTTTTGTTTTTTTTCCTTAAATTCTTTTATTGGTACATTTTAGGTAAACAATACGTTTACATTTATCATTGGGTGCTTGTACATGTACATGATGTATTTTGGTTATTTTTTCTCCATTCCCTGTGCTCCCTTCCCTAGCTTCCTTTTTTTTTCCTCATAATTTTTCCTTTCCCTCCTTTCCTTTCCCCTTACCCTCCCACCACCCCTACACCTTTGGACCTTTTCTTCCTATTTCAAATTAGCAATTATTCATTTTAATCCTTATTTACAATTTCAGTTTCTCACACCAGAGAAACTATTTGGTATTTACACGTGTGTCCTATTTATTTCACTTAAAAGTATGGCCTCAATGTGCATCCATTTAGCTATAAACGTCTCTAGTTTCTCGTTCTTTATGGCTGAGTAGTACTCCATTTTATAAAAAAACCACATCTTCTTTATCCAGTCTCCAGTTGATGGGCACTTGGGCTGTTTCCAAGCTTTCAATATTACAAACTGTGCCGCTATAAACATATATGCTCATATATCACTGTGGTATGATTCTTTTAATTCTTTTGGGAAGATCTCCTGCTTCACTTCTTATACCTTTTACTGTTGTACTTTTTCATTTTCAGCTCATATACAATGGATCTCTGTACCCCTCACTGTTGATGTCTTCAGTTTGATTGAATGATTTATTGCACTACTGGGTATCAAACTCAGGACCTTGCACTTGCAAGGCAGGTGCTACACCACTGAGCACCCAGGCCTGAGTTTTATTTTTTTGAGACACCGTTTTGCTGTCATTCAGGCTGGCCTCAAACTTGAAGTGATCTTCCTGCCTCAGCCTCCTGAGTGCTGGGATTACAGGTGTGCACTGCCACATTCAGCTTCTACAGTTTTAGATGCCATGACACTTACCATCCATGATGTTGGGATTTGCTAAAGCGTGTTAGGTTATTGACTCAAGATTTGCTCCATGCTTACCATAATTTACTTAGCAATGAACACTTCATACTAGTAACTTGCTGGGTGAGGTGCTGTATGCCTGGGATCTAGCACTCTGGGAGGCTGAAGCAGGAGAATGGCAAGTTTGAGCCCAACCTGGGCAACTCAGACAGATCCCGTCTAGAGAAAAACAACTGAAACATCCATACCCCAAAGATGATGCACCATGTATAGCTGCCCAATCTGAGAGAAGAATCCTCCCACTGCTTCATTATTGTCTTGTCGGAAACGAATTGCACGGGCCCTGGAAGAGAGACAATGCTCACACAGTGGACTGGATGGTCAGGGGGAGAGTTCAGAGCTGTATCTTTTTGTTTTGTTTTGTTTTTTCATCTGGGGATCAAACTCAGGACCTTGCACTTGTGAGGCAGGCATGGTGCCATTGAGCTAAATCCCCAGCCCCCAGCAGGAGACTTCAGAATGAGGACTGCCTGCCTTGCAACAATCATCAAATTGCTACCCAATTCGAAACCGCAATCACAGGTTATGTTAATTCAAGTAAAATGTAATCACAACTGCCCAGCGCTCTGCCAGTCCCTGCTGTGAGCAGTTGCTGATGTTGGATGGGAACCACTCAACACAAAACCAGCTGAGCTGCTGGTTCCTGACATAAAGTCAGGACTGGCAGGGAGGAGCCAGAAGCTAAGAGCTCACTGAAGTGAAAGAGATTCTATAGCCTCTTGGACCAAATCTATGGAAGAGCCATGAAGGCGGAGCTTTGAGGGGACGTGCTGTTCAGGCCTGTTTTTTCCTTAACAGAGCAAAGTACTTGGGGAAAAAAGAGTACTAAAAAGCACTCATTGTAGGCCGGGGATTTAGCTCAGTGGTTCTGACTCCTGCCTCAAAAGCGCAAGGTTCTGAATTCAATCCCTGATACCAAAAAGGGGGAGGCAGCCAAAAAGCACTCATTGTGACTACACACAGAAGTGCCTATGTGTACTCTGTGCAACAAAAAAATTGTGACTAAATTGGTTAAAAATGGGCGTTTGTTTTAAACTTTCTAAGATTTCCCTCTGCCAAAAGGTACTGGCTTTTTAATGTAAATACCTTCTTTCAGACCTGCACCAGACTTTTTTTTTTTTTGGTCCTGGGGATCGAACTCGGGACCTTCCACTTGTGAGGTAGGTGGCAGAACCGCTGAGCTAAATCCCTGGCCCCCAGACATTTTATTTTTACATTTAGTGATATAATTTGGATTCCTAAAAATGTATTTTTACAAAGGTAGTTTTCAAGAATCATAGGTAAACATGAGGGAAGGAGCATTAGATGATGTAGGGAAGCCCCCAGGAGAAGCAAGCTGGGGTCTATCAGGGGCTCCGCACCCTGGGGGATCCCAGGGAATCTGTAGCAAAATTGCTGGAGGTTCGTCACATCCAGGTCCTGGCCTTGACAGCACATGGGAAGATGGTCACTGTCACTGTCATGTGAATGAGGGTGGCGGGGTGCCTGTACCCACAGTGGGGACGTCCCCTTGGCCAGCGCCTTCCTTTCTGGAGGGAACGCAGGGACTGCCTGTAGCATCGAAATAGCAGCTGCAGAACCAAGAGAAACTGCTGGGAGGGACAAGGCCAGGGTCCTGGAGGCCAGTCGGTGACTGCTGCTCTTGTCCACCAGAGCTCAACACCACACGCATGACCCGGCCCAAGCTCCTGGTCCCCTTCTGGTAGAGGAGGGATGCTTGCTGTGGTCCCTTGGGTTATCCAGAAATGATACTAAACACTTTAGCCTTTACATTTGGGACTGAGTAATAAGCATCTTCACAAAAATAACAAATCTGAGTAATTATTGAAATTAAGCAAATCAATTTCACATGCATTCTGTGCTCAGAGGAGAACTTTATCATCGAGAGTGAGAAATGTTCCGGATTATTCATTTCATTCTGAATTTTTGTAATTCAGTTGTGGAAGGCGAACAAAACATACTTGCCGTGGCCTGGGAAATATCAGAGACGTGGACTAGAGGAGCTCACCGTCCTACAGTTACCTACGTGCCAAAATATACATTGAATGCCAAACTGGTTTTACACAAATGTTAAAAAAATTAACTGAATAACCTCAATTCATTCTAGTGGAGTCCCTGGTGAGTAAATTTGAATTAGTAATATGCAAAAATTGAACCAGTGGGTGATTCCATCCTGTGAACATCTAGACTTTACAGTTAAAGGCCAGAAACAAAAGCACAAAAACCAAAATCCCTTGACAAACTGTGTTTATAAGAGCAGAATATAATCAAATATGCACTTCCTAGTTTTCAAATGAATAGAAACTGTAACTTGTATTACAGACATTCCTCATTTCATGACTATTCGGACTTAAGACCCATTTTGGGGGGGTATAGTTCTGTTCATCTTTTTTTTTTTTTGGTACCGGGTATCGAACTCAGGTCTTTGCACTTGCGTAGCAGGCGGCAAAACCACTGAGCTAAATCCCCGGCCCTGTTCATCTTCTTGATAGAGCTTCAGTTGTCTTTTTATTTGTAAACAATACCTTGTTTATACAGTCTATAATTTTTCCTGATTGTACTATGGAGCACTGTCGTTTTGTGTTCTGTCACACATAACAGTACCGTATGTAAGAGTTATGTAAATAAAAACAAAATCGGGCTGGGGATTTAGCTCAGTGGTTTCGCCGTCTGCTGCTCAAGCACAAGGACCTGAGTCCGATCTCCGGTACCAAAACAACAACAAAAAATCAAGTTGGAATTTCTTTTGGCCATTTCTTTATTCTAAATATTGTACGTACTATCTACAATTCCTCATTTAGTGACCAATTCATTTAATGGCCAAGTCGCAGGAATGTAACTGTCATTAAATGAAGAATGTCTGTATTTAGCTTTCTTTTTTTTTCCAGGGATTGAACTAAGGATCTTGCACTCTCGAGGCAGGCACAGTGCCACTGAGCTAAATCCCCGGCCCTATATTTAGCTTTTGATGATCCAAGAAGAAAAGAGTCATCAGAAATAAAGATCATAGAACCATTTGTTTGAAATGGAGCAAGATCTTAGGAGTTACTAAATGCAGGCCAGAGATTTAGCTCAGTGGCATAGCGCCTGCCTGGCAAGCTCGAGGTCCTGAGTTCAATATCTGGTACCAAAAAAAAAAAAAAGCAGTTACTACATGCAAAGCAAGATACTTCATAACTGACATTCCCTATCTTTTTTTTGGTACCAGGGCTCAAACTCAGGACCTTATGCTTGCAAGGTGGGCAGCAGCACCACTGAGCTAAATCCCTGGCCCAATACTTCATAATTGAAAAAGGAGGAACAGATGTAAGCTGAAAGTCAGTCAAAGTCACAAATTCTCATTTCAAGAAAGAAATAAAGGATGAGAGCAGTCAACCGACTTCCACCCAAAGCTTTGCCCAGCAGCACCCGCCTCCCCTTTGGTGGGAAATGATGTTGAAAATGCTGGCTTAGGAAAGAGAAGCAGGGAGTTTCCAAGGAAAACTGAGTTAATTCAAAAGACATACAGTATAGGGAGATTCTCTCCCAAGAATAAGAAAAGCAGAAGAAAAATTAAGGGGTAAATGTATTTATTTCAGATTTCAAGGAAAAAAATGCTCAAAAGCTTTGTTGAATTAGGTAAGTTTTTGTGTTTACTTCAAATTATTTTAGGAAACTGGGCCGGGGATTTAGCTCAGTGGTTTCGCCGCCTGCTGTGCAAGCGCAAGGATCGGAGTTTGGTCCCTGGTACCAAAAAAACCAAAAAACCAAAAAAACCCAAATTATTTTAGGAAACTATTCTAAAGCATCTCAACATTAAAAATATTTTTGGGGCTGGGGATTTAGCTCAGTGGTTTTGCAAGCGCAAGGTGCCGGGTTTGATCCCTAGTACCAAAAAAAAATTTTTTGACTACCAAAGAATACCATATTATAGGGCCGGGGATTTAGCTCATTGATGCCGCCACCTGCCTTGAAAGTGTAAGGACCCAAGTTCAATCCCCGATACAAAAAAACCCAAACCAAACCATATTATAGAAAGTTTGGAGACAGGAGAAAAGAACACCAACAGTTTAACCACCATAAAACTTTCAAATCCTTTTCTTTTCTAGTCCCAGATATTGACTTCAGCTGACAATGACCAATCTATTCTTTTTTTCTGAGACAAGGTCTCACCATGTAGTTCAGAATGCCCTTGAACTCACTATGTAGTCCAGGCTGGCCTCAAACTTGTAGCAATCCTCCTGCTTCAGCCTTCCAAGTGCTGGGATTAAAGATGTGCGGCACCATACCTGGGTTAGGTGGTTATATCTTTGTTTCTTTTTTTCCTGTTTAGTCAGGATTTTAAAAAACAGTATTATAATGGTGAAAGCTGTATTTTTGTTATTCATGGTAATGTGTGTGTTTCCTGTGTTTTTCCATTAAGTTTAACATGATCATGGTGGGGCCATATTTTGTCTGCCTCACTGCTGGGAGGCTCTGAACCACCGGTTTACATGCATGACTGTCCCACCGGGCAACACGGGACAGTCCCATCAGGCGCCAGTGGTAAAGCTGACAGACTGCACTTACTGTAGCCACAGCCTGATCCTGTGTGAACCTTGGCTGATGCGTCAATTTAAAGACGAGGAAGCAAAGCCCCAGCTGACGCTCAGCCCTAGGCAGGCACAGCTGGGGCTGCAGTCCTGGTCTTAGACGCTGGCACCCTCAGCAAACGCAGAGACATAACGCCACTGCTGTAGTCACCACACTGACGCCAGCCCTGTCCACTCCTCTCACTAAAGCCTCTCAGAACACACTGATGCCAACCCGACCGGAGCCGGAAATGGCGCCGCCCACAACACCCCCACCGTGACAGCTACAGAGAAGCAGGTCCCTCTGCCTCCGGTGCACGCTGTTAAAACGGTCACACTACATCAATGACATTCTCCCCAGAACTAGAAAAAAACAATCCTGACATTAGAGCAACAGAAGACAAAACCCAGAAATAAAACCATGCAGCGACAGCCATCTGATTCTCGATTTTGTGAACCACTGGAATCCTACTCAAAAAGTCACTGGTAGTGCCCAAATCTTGAAGTGTTTTCCCTATGTTTTTCTGTAGTAATTTCAGGGTTTCAGGCCTTAACTTCATAGAGGAACTACTCCCTTTCTCTTCTTCCTGTTTTTCATACTTTATACCTGATTTCTTCAACTCTAATGACTCACTCAACAATTTTTTTTTTGTACTGGGGATCGAACTCGGGCCCTCGCACTTGTGAGGTAGGCACGGTGCCACTGAGCTACATCCCCAGCCCCGTTTCTGGC